TTTCATTAAATTCTCCTCTACTCCTGTTAATTTATGTGGTCAAGTTGAGAAAAATGAACAGCTCTTGGTTAGATTATAAGTCAGTGCACAGTCAGCTAAAACGCTCCAGCCTTACACACTAAAATTGTTCAACCACTGCTTGTAAACTGATCTATTTTTATCAGATATGAAGATGTTTATCACTCCCAAAGTTTAGGATACCTGCTTATCAATTCCCATATGTATTTAGCCTGTCTGTTTTGTTGTGGAGTTAATCTCCTACATTCTCACACACGAGGTACCGATAGTTCTGCATTCATGAAAGTTTTCTTCGGTAATCAAGCGGTGTTGGTCCTCAGCGCATCATTTCTGAGTTTGTGGGTTGAAATAACACCTATGCGACTAAATCTCACATTTCATCCTATGCTATGTCAGCCTTTTGATTGGCCCGTTGCCACTCCTCAACGGTTGGTTATGCATTTGTTTATTCAATAGAATAATGTAGAACTAGAAGAGTTATAATGAAAATAATTAAAAAGCACCCGGGGTTTATACATTATTCTCCTCGTTCTGGAGTAGTGTTGTCTGTGCTTAAACCGAAGGTTCGCGTTTTGGAGTTCTGGTAGGGACACTCGGCGGATAAGTTTTACTCGGGAAGATGGTAACCGTTCTCTGTAATTGCATACAGCCTGTCCCCCGATGAAATCTGGTAGGCATGTTTGTGCCGCAGTATGTACAGTGCGACATTCCCCGTGGTCCCCTGGGTGACAACTTGCAGCTTGGATACCGAAGGACAGCTGGTTAAAATGTTCCAAATCCAGTTCACTTTCATCGCACTCGCTCATCCCCAGAACGGATTGGTAGATGTCAAATATTTGATTTGCTAACCTGGACAAGGCCCGTTTTAGTGTTTCCCCATCGACAATGTGTTCGAACTACTTCGCTCTAATGCTTTCCACCCACATGCCTCGGTTCGGTTGGTGTGACCATTAAGAAACTAACACATACATGATCGGTCCAGATTCACACATATATCCAAAAGGTACCGGTACACAATCTGCACGAATTGTGCCTAATCCCGTGAAAATTTTCGATGATATGCAAACCATTATGAGAAATCGATAATTTCGTCTATTTTTATCCTTTGATTTTACCCTATTCTAGCTTTCACTTTTTGTCCGAATACATCTGTTTCGCTGTACGTTATAGCAATGCAATCGATGAGCAGTGTACGGTTTAATTTAGTGTCACGAAAGCTTTCAATCCATTAATTCTTTGTTCAAAATCATTTTGGACCGCAGACTAGGGTATTCCTTATTTAACTTTCATAATACACGCGTGACCAGTCAGTGAAAAGCGGAAAGCTTCAGTGTTTGAGCTTGGCAGTACCCCGCACGAGAAAAAACTAGTTTGGACTTCGATGCCCCTTCAGAGACAAAGTTCGGCCTCCTGGTCTTCCAGGTTGGAGGCTCGACTTGATTTGGTGTCTCAGACGGTAAAGATGTTACAGGAGTACTTGATTCAATTTAATGGGCCTCCGCCGTGCCTTACCCGCTGCCGAGTGATTAGGTTCTTTTCAGAACCGAAGGCCTTGATCGAGAACCCTAATCATTCTCCTGCTTAGTGGCTGGACACCCTAGTAGTAATCGTCCATAATGTTCCAGGGAATACCCAAACAAAAAATAATTCCTTATTGCATCGTTTGTCAAGCAGGATAATCAGGACCGCGCTACCGATTGCATCAAACGAAGTGAGTGGTTATAAGTAGGCTACTGCTCAGACATCTCAACCTTTGTTAAACTCTTTGTCTTCCAAACCCAACCCTCTCCCTTTGCTCCTAATTGCTATCCGTAACATCCCATCAGCCAACTGGTTTTTCTCTCGCCAAAGGTCGTTGCCAAAGAGCACTGTAAGTGGTTTGCCACTGAATAATTTGCATATTCTGAAACCTCATCAACCTCTGAATCTGGAGGCCCTCAACGTGAGGAAGATTATGCAGGTGGATTTAGAAGCGTGTCTTGCGTATAAAATGAACTCTTTGGAAATTGATACCTGTTGCGTATCGGAGACTTTTAATTCAGGATCCTAGTATTAGAAGCCGACTGAGTGCGCTGATTCTATCCTCTAGGTATTTTCTTCCGAAAGACGATGAAGCAAGCCCGCTGGGTCAGCGTGGTGTAGGGATATTAATAAGCGATAGAGCTAAGGCCTCAATGACAGATGGGATACCCTTCAACAGCCAATTGTTCGCCATGAGACTCCAGGGTTCAATTAATGTTCGCAAGGTCGGCAACACCAAAAGGTGTTTTTGTTTCATTTCAGCATACGTACCAAACAACTGCAGTCCCACTTTTCAAAAGGACGAATTCTACGACAAATTCGCCGAACTCATTCGGTTGAGTCGCAGTTTTGATATTGTAATGCTGGCAGGTGACTAAAGAGCAGGTTGGAAAACTGAGCGCATCCAAGGCCTGTCCAGGAAGGCACTTAGCTCTTCCCACCCAGCAAACAGACAACGGTGATCGATTACTTCAGTTCTGCGCGGTTCATCGGTTGTTCTTATCCACCAACAACTTTCGAGACAGCTCTCGTTGAACAGATTCATGGTGTTCAAGTTGAACGGGAAAGTTGGCCCAAATTGACCACATAGCTCCCGTTGGCGTGATTCAGTACAAAATTACAGATTCTATTGGACCACTTGCGTTGAGTTGGATCACGTACTGGTTCTGAAGCATTTCACTCTTCGACTCATCGATCATCGGCAGAAACCAACGCTTCAGTTGGCCACAATGTGCAGTTAGTTCTGCTTTTTGTTTGCTGGACCCTAAATTTGCGCGTGGAAGATATTCGTCGTCTAGAAGTCTTCGACTACCAATGTTTACATAGTTTCACGCGAGTTGAATGAAGCGAATGTGTAAGCAACTCTGAAGTAAGGCGTTCCATCGAATTCAGATTAGTCGGCTTCGCTGGTTGGAACACTCATTGCCCACAACTAGCTATCATTTACCGCACCGCGCCTTATTCGCAGTTGCAACTCCAGGTTGGAAGAAACCTCGTGGATGTCGAAAGATAACGTAGAAACGAGGCATGAAGAGACCTGAGTGGACAACTAAACGACAGCAGTGGAGTTCTTCTTGTCATTTTTTATCAGGTCAGAAAGCTTGAAAATATATATGTGCAACATTAGGTTGAGCATTCTTTGTGTTGACCATGGAGGTTCACCTTCCTTGCATCCTTCCTTTTAGCCTCAGGTCCTATCCATCTTGTTCTTTGTTACTTACGTTGCGTACATTGTGAGCTTGGCAGCGATCAGTAAAGTTCGCCTCACTGTATCTCGTTGTACGATGACAAAGCCCCTCCACCCCACCCGACCCCCGAAAAAATTAGACCATTTAAAATTTTTGGGCTTGAAACGAAATAGTTTAAACAAGAAGAAATACTTGGAAATTATCCAGTTGTATTTAGTAGATAAAACAACGCAATGCATTTATGGTTGAAAAGTACTTGATCCATTGGGTCATACTGCTGCTATCAATTCCTCCTGTATTTCATTGGTGTCCGCAGTTCGGGTCGGAGCCAATCTAGTTCTGAGCAGTACGTTACGAGTTCTCGTATTTCTACATTCAGTACTATTCCGATTATCACAATTTGGCGTCGCGCACTGGAGATTTCTGCCATTGAACAAGTGAAGCTAAACGGAAGCCCATCGGAAATAGAAGAATGGGTAGAACGTTTCGAATTATGGTGCAGCATCCGGAAAGGAAGAATGCAAAATCAGTCGGCTTTATTTTTGACGTTGGTCGGCCGAGAGCTGTATTCCCTAGTGAAGAATCTACCGTTCCCGAATGTTCCTGCTGAATTGTCGTTCGAGAAGTTGAAATCTCTACTGATGGACCACATTCTCCCGGGCCACTGAAAGGGCCAAATTCAACTCAATGATCAGAAATGCCAACATGCCGTGCCGTAAATTCATTCTTCAGTTGAACAAGCAGGCGTCAAAATGCAACTATGGTGACCGATTGGAAGAACAACTTTGCGACCGTCTCATTGCTGGAATCAACAACATCTCATTACACCGTAAGATGTTGGAAAAGAAAGACATCACGTTCGCCGAGGCTCGAAAAATCTGTGAGCAAAGTGATGGTTTGTGTGCTGTCACAAATGCGGATACTCCTGTGTTATTCCATCGACAATCAATGAAACCCTTACGTGACGCACCCAATGTTCATAATTCACCCCAGGTTCCCAGTTCAAGCCGAACACAACCGAATGCTGCGACCAACCGCTGCTTTTCATGTGGTGAATATCATCTTCGCTCGACTTGTCGATTACGCAATGCTGCTTGCCATACATGCGGTAAGATGGGCCATATCCGCAAGGTATGCCGAATGGTCATGTGCAACCTCATCGATTCCCATATCCCAACTGCAAATGAGAATTCAAGCCCAATCTACACGCTACAGACCACTGAATCCAACAATCAGTTCGTGTTCACCCCAGTGAGGTTCGAGTCTAGTGTGGAGCATCGATTCATCATGGACACAGGAAGCAGCGAATCAATCCTACTGAAATCAGCACTTACTGCGATCTGTCCTAATGCTGTTCTGGCCCCGACTTCAGTGCGCATTCATGGGATTATCGGCCATCAATCGCAATTACTTGCCGAAACGATTTTGTGCGTTCAATCTGAGTCTGGTGTGTCAATCACAATCCGATTCCTGGTATCAGCCCACAGTCCGTCTATTCTGGGCCTGCGAGCAATGCGGCTACTACAAGGATCAATCACACTAAATACCAACAACGATAAGCCAACCACCTCACATCTTCAACATTTGATTGTATAGTATTCCGGTAACGTTGGTGGCATGAAGGTTCCGTCAGTAAAGTTGGAAGTGGACGGTTAACCTATTTTCCTAAAACAACGCGTTCTCCCATACGGTCAACGGGAAGGTTTCCTGAAAATGGAACAGGATGGTGTGATAAGTAAAGTTGAATCCAGTGCCTGGGCGACCTAGATTGTCATGGCGATGAAAAGTGATGGTAGGACACCACGGATCTGTGGAAACTATCGACTGACGTTGAATCCCCGATTGCGGAGATATGCAGCTACCACCATGGAACCGGAGGATTTCATGAAGTCATTGCATGGATGCCAGTATTTTTCCAAGATCGATTTGGCGGATGCATACTTACAGATTCCACTCAATTTCGAAGCTCGCTACTTTACAACAATCCACACGCCGTGGGAAATGTACCAGTACAATTTTCTCCCGTTCGGATTGTGTGTCGTCTGGCCTCTTTCAATCGGCAATAGACAGTGCAATCAAAGGACTCGACGGTGTCATTGCATATCGAGATGATGTCCTTATTTTCGACCTTAATAAGAAAGAACACGATGCCCGTCCTACGCAGCTACTGGAACGATTCGCCGCCGGGAACGTGGCAATCAAGTTGTCCAAATGTGTGTTTGGTGTGAGTGAGTTGGAGATTCTAGGATTCAGAATTGCTTCCCGTGGATATCGTCCCGATCCTTCACGTTTCAAACCATTGACTAACATCGAATCTCCAAAAGATCAAACGCATTTGAGATCCGAGATGGGATGCCTATAATACTATTCCCAATTTATCCCAAAAATTTGCTACAAGGGCGCAGCCGCTTTTCCGTGTTCAGTGTTCAGACTCTTGGGAATGGTCGATGGAGTGTAAAGATATCTTACGAGGTTTAATTCGCTGCGTTACTGATCGTCCTGTTTTGGCCCCGTTTTCACCATCAAAACCTACTATACTCATCACCGAGGCATCCGACGTCGGAATCGGTGCTGAATTAGAACAAGAAGGTTGCCCAGTGATCTGCATTTCACGTCTACTCAATGCGGTTGAAAAGGGATACTCGCAGACCCAAGAAGAAGCATTGGCTGTATTTTGGGCTTTTCGACGATTGCACAAGTACTTTTTGAATTGCGGTTTACCATCATCACTGATCACCAAGCGCTACAGTTCTTGTTCAACCCCAACAAATCCATCGCGAAGTCCACTGCTGCTATGCTACATAGGTGGAACATCGCCCTAGCTGCGTACAACCACGACATCCAATATCGTCTAGGAAAGACAACCCCGCAGGCTGATTTCCTCTCTCGCTACTCACGATTTTCAGAGGCCGAACAGTGTCATTTCGTCACCCCAGCACCACCAGTGTCTCGGAAATCTTTACATAAATCTAACAAGCAGTACTTCTCGTCCATACTCTCAGCGATCATGAAAGGGTGGTCACCAGAGGTAAAGAGAAAGTATCCTCAATTCTTTACTCACCGAGAGGTGTTGTCAGTGTAATTGGATGGTGTATTGTGTCGCGACGATTGATTGGTAATCCCACCGCCACTACGGAAGACAGTCCTAGATGAATTGCATAATGGACATATGGGGGTGGAGATGAAATCATTGGTTCGACAGATGTGTTGGTGGCCGGAGTTGGACGCAGACATTTACACAACAGCTAAGAACTGTGATTCATGTTTACATCAACTACGAACAAGGACGAAAAGCTGGATACCATGGCCGGAAAGTTATGTACCATGGCAAAGGGTTCATTTGGATTTCTGTGGTTCATTTCTGAACCGGTATCACGCCCTTGTTCTGATCGATTCATACTTCAAATGGCCAGAAGTATTCTTTACGACTACGTCTACCACATCATTTGTGGTAAAAGTATTACGGAAATGTTTTAGTTTGTTTAGATTTCACAAGCGCTTGTGAGGGACAGTGAATCTCAGTTCTGTGCGACCGAAGTGAAACTTTGGATGGACAGCCAACATCTTCGAACGGCGCCACGTCACCCGTATTCGAACGGAGCGGCAGAGAATTTAGTCGAAACGGTCAAGAGTGAATTTGCGTCTTCCAATCCTAAAACGCCACCTGAATTGGACAAGTTGGTGGATAACTTCCTACTCCAATACCGAAACGTTGTGAATATTGGAAATTTTATGGCGATTGAAGAATGAATTCAAAGATAAGCAGAGCAAAAAATATCTGAACTGAAATGTTGAGAAACACATTGCGGTCTTTGTAGCTTCATTAAGTAAATCGTTTGTGCGAGTTGCGAAACAAATGAAAATAAAATGGGATAATAACGACGCATTTGTCATGCAGGATCAACGTGTCATTTACCACTGCAAACCACTAGAAGCTGTTTCACTTAACTACCCATAAACTATCCATGCAGTGCATATCCACCAGCTTTCCTGGGATTCGAACCCAAAGTGGGATTAACGGAATGGTGTTCAGTAGCTTGTTACATACGTCAACAATGCATGACAAAATGGTTCATAAGCAAACCAAATTCTTCAAACCGTTCTACATGAGCACGAAAATCACCAGTCTACTCGGAATTTCGGAAAACATTTCTTAAGATCACACTTTATTCTAGTCGATAACCGTAAACCGATCAATGGTTTTTCAGAATGCGTAAAACGATATACAATGCATAAATCAGAAAAGGGGTGAGGGTGAGTTGGAGTTAAAGGAAGGGGGATGATAGTCAATCGTGTTTTAGCCCTACTTTGCAACGGGTTCATCCTCCAAATCGGTCTTGATCTAGCACTCACAGTTTCTAGGGTCATATATTATCAAGGTAAGGGAATCAGTGATCTGTTCTAGCAACCTCGATGAAGTTGTTTATGCAGAAGAACCTGAACGGATACAGCACATGTGATTTGGCACAAAATTTTCAGAATTAATATCTCGAGATGACATTCACCGCATGCGTGTGTGTATATATGTGGGTGCGCGCACATACAAACACGCATGCACTGCAGTTGCCATATGCTCGTCTCGCTTCAGAAACTCAGGCAGTGCAGTTTGCGAGGAGTCTTAACGAGACTGACCCCTTGCAACCAGCTCAACCGCATTGACTCGGATTCAATTCGGATGTTCTGAATCACATTATCATCTCTTACTTAACGTCGAGTTTGATCTGAACCGATACCAAGTCAGCTCCTCACCTCGGCTCAATTCGGTTCAATGCAGTTCAATTAAATTCCAGTCCAACAGAGATCGGTGTGCACGGCAATGCTCCGAGTCACATGAGGGAACCCGAGAGAAACCAATTGACTTGAGTTAGCTGGAAGCTGGTGAGGGTGTTATCGAATTAATCCGATCGCGCACACACGCACACAGAAGCTACCTGCACCTACCTGTGGTCGAAACCATAACTGCACACAATCAAATAAACACACGCACGTACACACATAATGCACACGCGCTCACAGAGTACACCAACTCTCTCACAAACGCGAGCATCTAAGTGCCATTTTGCTGTTCGGCTCGATAGCTTACACCAGTTCTAAGGTACAATATACTACGCCTTCATGTGCCAAAAAGCCATACCAGAGTCGGGTTTCGAATTCAGTCCATCAAGTGAAAGCTTACGTTCAACTCATGCACCGCTTTTACCAGCACCACGAACAAAACTGTTCATACGCCATCGGGTGGGGGTTCTGCCAATATGCCCATGTAGGTGTATGTGTCTGTGTGTATTTGTCTGTTTGTATCTGCACATGTTCAGCATCGAAGTGTAGTCCGATTTTTGTTCTCCATTCAACTCGCGTTCAAGTTCGAGCAGGTGAACGGATGAACGAACACATTCAGGGGCACCACCACGCGAACCAGAGCGCATGCGCGCGCACACACACAAACACAGTGGTACTATAGGTTCGCGGAAGTACGATGCATAATCCATACCTCATTAAAACGCAAACGCGTTGTTGTTGTCAGCTATTCCAATACGGACCACCACTGCTTAACCACTGGCAGAGTTAGCTTAATATCTAACTAAAGGTGTGTGTGTGTTTGTTCTATTCGAGGTTGCGGATACTCGTAGCCATTCGGTTGCGAATCACATTCACTGTCAGGGTGTGTGAACGAGGAGACGCTGACGTACCTGTTAGGTGTGAATATACGCAGACACATCCACACAAATGCACATAGAACTAAAAACACAAGCACCATTACGCTTGAGTAGAAAGTGAGTCGATCTCATGGATGTGTGACAGGGGGCAGAGGTGAGGAAATGGTTCGTTGATCAATGCTATGTGAAAGCCGCCCAAGAAACTGAGCCTGTCGGCTGGGTATTTCGACTGACACGGATACGTTGACAAAACACCGTTTTTAGTGGCAGTGTTTTCGATAAAATGATAGTCTTAATGTTGACAGGGTCATCTTCAACAAGGTCTAGGATTCGAATACACCCACTTGGCACTGCCCCCTCCCGCCACGCACATACATGTGTGTTTGAGAATATATTCCAATGTAGCTCGGTCTCCTCAGCAAGCGATGAAGACCGGTTTCTTCGCCACAATAATTTATCTTCANTGGCAACAATTAACCCGTGAGGTGACTACCATATCCATCGTATCAGTGCATTCGAACAGGGAAATTCAGTTTTTGATTATGCATGACTCACTAGGAGGTCGAATAAGATATGAAACTGTCGGATGACTATGTTGATGACAATTATTAATGGGGATGACTTTATAGCCACGATAACTGCATATTTTAGTACAACAATCTACCATACTAACCTTAATTAAGTACTATAATTTCTTCCTCAACTAAATAGATGTATCGTTTCCGAAAAAACGCACCAGATTACCATAGTTTTCTTTTCTTGAGCAAACAAACTACCGAAATATTTTGAGGACTAAGATGTTATACTTAGACCCAAAGAATAATCAAATACATAAATTTGTACTGTTTGTTCGGGAAGATGCGTTGCTGTCAGGTACAAAATAAGGTTATAAGAGATAGCATGAATACCCATTCACAAAAAATGCATTGACGGAGAATAAAGAGGAAATATAACAACAGTTTTCTCTAGAATATTATACCTTCTGCGATTCAAGTTGTCTGAATATCATTTTAAGAAGTTTGGCTATCATCGCTGAGGTTTCTTCGATAATCATGGCGGTAAAACTGAACCGAGTAACTGAAGTCTCTCTATCATCTTTGCTCACCTCCTGCCATTCGACTAGCTTTCTTCGACAAGTTTGTTCGAAACCGATTACACCTTACCCTGATCCACCCGGGTTGAGTTATGTAGTGGGGGGTGCTTTAATAGGGCTACATGATTTCAACGATAAAGATTACCGAAGTCAGGGTCCATATTCAGAAAAGAGCATTTCTAAAAAACATTCCTATATTTGAACTGTGAATTGCTCATAAACTTCCGCAACTATTATAAAATATATGGTCTGTTTCGACAGCCCTTGTCACGCTATTTCAATTAAATTTTGTTTAATAGAGATAACTCATTCCGTTCCGGATTTATGGCAAAATGGTCATTTTCATTGTTCTGTACATGAAGTTGTTTCTGTGGTGGTATCCTAAAGATGGAGTATAACCTGAAAGTGTCGAACGAACTGGATGTGTATCTGGTCAACAATGATGCGATCGAGTATGGTCGATTGGTATCCCGGTGCATCCGCTTGAGGTGTAGCTCATGAATTCCACTACAGCATCATGCTACAAAGGCAAGCAACGGCTCATTCGTTGATCGCGCATGATGTATTGGTGCATGATCCGATATGAATTTTCAGGAGAGAAGGACGAACACACACATGGACGCGTACGCTTACTGGCAAGATAAACAATCAATATTTATGTCAGTCACCACCACCACTACCATGTCGAGAAATTGTAACGTGCCGCCCCATCGCTGGTGTCATCTCGGATACAAGGATCAACAAAATGCTTGTCCCTCAAGAGAGCCTCAGCGATTTGACATGCTCTCCTGATTGTTCTTCGTAACACCAGTGAAGCATGCTTATGGGTAGGCGTTCCAGGAACACTGAATTACTGGTTTCGGTTCTCCGTATCTGGCATCGCCTTATCACCGGATGAATTTTCCAGTTGACATTTCTGTGGATTCCTCGCTCGGACTAGCAGGCTCCTTAAAATGGCCGATGTGGTGTCAATGAACCCTAGCATCTGTTAGATCGGTTACCTCCACTATAGTTTGACCAATCTTCCAGTTAACGATTCCTATTGCTGGTTTCAGGTCGTTTCTCCGGAATTAAA